AAAAAAAAAAAAAAAAAAAAAAAGTAATTTTTACGTGGGAAGAAGAGAGATACAAATAGTTCCATGGTTTGGGTGTCTCCTAACAGTCACTGTGTAGGAAGGCTGGTTTCTAGAGCAGGTGCAGTAACAAATACTGTGACACCTTTAAGAGGCGGGGCCTAGTGGAGGTCCTTAGGGGCCCACGTAGCTCTCTCTACTTCCTGGATATTCTCAGGACAAAAGTAACTCACTACTCTGATACTCTTGCCATTGCTGTTTCCCATCTGTCCTGGGCCCCTCACCAAAACTGAAGTAATGCAGATGTCATGCTCTTGAGCATTCAAAATTGTAAGCTAAATAAACTTATTTTTACTGTAAGTAGTTTGTGTCAGTTATTTTGACACAGCAATGAAAGACAATGATGTGACCAATATGAGATGGCAAATAAGGAAACAAAGAGACGCTCAATATCATCAGTCACAAGGGAATGCAAACTAAAACCACAATGAGAAACCACTACACACCCACTAGAAAAATAAAACAAAATACAAAAAAGTGCTAAAAAGGACCTCTAAGAACTGAAATTTGATATTTTTCATATACTGCAGGTGAACGAATAAACATATTATTGTATATCCATTTATACTGTGGAATACTACACAGGAATAAAGGGAACAAACTACTGATACATGTAATCAGATGGATGAATTCTCAATTGCTAAAATGAAACAAACCAAACATGTAAGTGTAGCTCCATTTATATGACCTTCCAAAAAATATAAAACCACAGGGAAAAAATTAGATCAATTGTTATCAGAGAAAGAAAGGGAAGGCCCCAGATGAATATGAAGGGGCACAAGGCAAGGTTTAGAGATGATGGATATGTATGTACATATATCTTGATTTAGTGGTTACATGATTGCATGTTTGTCTAGATTTACCGATCTATATATTTTAAAAGGTAAATTTTACTTTACACAAATTATACATCAATAAACCTGAATAAAAAGTTAGAAAACTTTAGAAATAGACTTGCAGAAAATCAAGGATAAAGAAGAAAATCCTAAAATTTACCCAAAAAGATACAGAACTACCTATTTTTTAAAACTAGCTGAGCATGCGGCTGAGTGGTATATACTTAGGATGCACAAGGCCATGGTCTAGTATTATAAAACATAACAAAAAACAGAAGCAATTAGACTGCAACAGATGTTAGGAGATGAGACAGTGATATACGGAAAGTACTGTACGTGCTAAAGTGAGGTAAAAGGAAGAAATGAAGGAATGAGAGAAAGGAGAAAGGGAGGGAGAAAGGAAGAAGTAACTGTGTTGACCTAGAATTTTATAACCAACTAATTTATAATCAACTGCCAAAATTTAAAAAAAAATTCAGGGGCAGGGGATATACCTCAGTAGTATAGTACTTGCCTAGTAAGTATAAGGCTTGCTTGTATGCCCCGGGTTGAACCCTCAGCACCACAGAAAAAAATAATTCAGACATAAAAAGTCAAAAGGAACTTATTGGCTGTAGGCCACCATTATGAGAATTAATAAAAACAGAGAAGCAAGTTCAAATGAAAACACAGGATACTGAAAACAACAAGTATAGAAAAAAATCATGGGTAATATAATTAATGATTTTGATCAAACTGATTATTGATGTTGATTTTATACTGATTTTGAGTGAATAACTGAAAATGAATAAAAACAATTTTCACAAAGGTAAAATAAAATATAGACAATTAAGACTGATAAAGGTATTAAATGAATAAAGTGTGCTAAGGTTTGTCATATTTGGGGGAAAAAATGGAAATACTGTGTAGTAGGCAGAAAACTCCCACCAAAAGACTCCTAGATTTAACAACCAAATTCAATAGTGAAGCAAGATATAAACACTCAAAAACCATTAGCATTTCTGTACACAAATAACAAACTCACTGAGAGAGAAATTAGGAAAACAACACCTTAACACCTTTCACAGTGCAGTACAAAAATGAAACACTTAGGAATAAATCTAACAAAGTAAAAGAGCTTTACATTGAAAACTATAGTACTCTGAAAAAGGAGATCAAAGAGGTTATCAGAAAATGGAAAGATAGCCCTTATTCTTGGATAGGAAGAAACAATATAGTGAAAATGGCCTTACTTCCAAAACTCTTATACAGAATGAATGTAATCCCAATCAAGATACCAATAACACCTCATAGAACTAGAGGAAAAACAATCCCAAAATTCACTGGAAGCAGAAGAAACCTAGAATAGCAAAGGCATTTCTGGGCAACAAAGACAAGACAGAGGGATCACAGTTCCCAACTTGAAATTATACTACAAAGCTTCCATGACAAAAAATAGCATGGTACTGGCAATACCCAAGGATCAATGGAACAGGAGGTACAAAAACAACTCCAAGCACATTCAGCTACCTTACCTTTGACAAGAGGGCCAAACACCTTCACTGGAAGAAAGACAGCCTGTTTAATAAACAGTGCTGGAAAAACTGGCTCTCCACATACCAAAGATTAAAACTAAACCCATATCTTTCACCAGGCACTAAACTAAAATTGAGATGATCAAATATCTAAATATTAAAGCAGAAACACTAAATCTGCTGAAGGCAGAATAGGCAAAACTCTTGAAGACATAGGTATAGGCAAAGACTTTATGAACAAAACCCTGATTCCACAGGAAATAGTACAAGGAATCAAATGGGATCTCATCATAGTAAAAAGCTTTTTCACAGCAAAAGAAATGACCAACAGAATGAAGAGAGAACCCACAGAGTGGGAAAAAACTTTATCAGCTACTCCTCAGACAAAGGACTAATTAACTAGACTGTATAAAGAACTAAAAAAAAGAGACCTCCCACAAGTTTAAAGACCCAACCAAAAATGGGCATCTGAAATGAGCAAATACTTCTCAGATGAATAAGTACAAATAGCCAATAAATATATGAAAAAAATTTTGAACATCATCAGTCATTCAAGAGACACAAAGCAAAACAACAATGAGCTTCCATCTTACTCCAGAAAGAATGGCTACTGTCAAGAAATCAACCAATAATAGATGCTGGTAAGGCTGTGGGGGAAAAGGAACCCTTCACTGTTCATGGGAGTGTAAACTGGTGCAACGGGTATGGAAATCAGAATGGAGATTCTTCAAAATCTGAAACTTGAAGTTCCATTTGACACAGTTATTCCCTTATTTTTCCCAAAGAGAGTTAAAAGCAACATACCACAGTGATGTATGCACTCCTATTTTTGTAGAAGCATAATTTGTAATAGCTTAATCTTAGAAACAGCCTAGATGCCCATCAACAGATGAATGTGTAAAGAAAAATGGTTTTTTATGTACAATGGAATACTACTCTGCCATAAAAAAAGATAAGTGAGACATTTTTAGGTAAATAAATGCACCCTGATACCATAATTGTAAGTAAAATAAATCAGAAACACATATTTAAACATCTTATCATTTCTCCTGTATGAGAAACTGAAAGCACAAATAAGTACCAAAATGGATGATAGATATTAGGAAGCAGGAAGAAATGTTTAAATGGGAAGAGGGAACAAGAGAGGGAGGAGGGAAAAGGGAAGGAAGGGAAAAAGAAAAGGAAAGGGAAATGGAAACAAAGCTTTTGTAAAGAAGGAGAGGAAGAGGCCAGGCGTGGTGGCACATGCCTGTAATCCCAGCACTCCGGAGGCTGAGGCAGGAGGAGAGGCAGGAGGATTGCTGTGAGTTTGAGACCAGCCTGGACTACATAGTGAGTTCCAGGTCAGTCTCAACTACATGATGAGACTCTGTTTCAAAAAAACCAAAAAACAAACAAACAAAACAAAACAAAACAAAAACCAAAAAGGGAGGAGAGGAAGAGGGGTTGAAGGGAGGGGAGCAGAAAGAGGAAAAAAAGAAGAATCAAAACATATAATGTACAGGTGCTAATTCCCTATAGCGAATATGATCTTTATGCATATCAAGTGTGCAAATAAAATTAATTTTTAAAAAACAGAAAAAAATGACATCACGGCAATAAAGAAGTCTTCCCAAATTTAAAAAAAATTGAGGCATAGAGAGAGATTTAAAGGAAAGTGACAAATTTCTGCTGGCTTGAAAGAATGCCAACATCCTTGTTGTAAGCCAGCCACAGATCACAAAAGCAAGAAACTGCAGGTGTCCTCTAATGGTCAAGAGTAGACACCAATCAACAACTAGCAAGAAAATGAGTTCTGTTAGACACCTAAATGAGTTTGGAAAAGGGGCCTCCAGCTCCAAATGTGAACTGGAACACAGGTGATAGATAACTTTTAGCTCCCTAAGAACATGCCATGCCTGGACTCCTAATCCATGGAAACTGGGAGATAGCAAATTTGTGTTGTCTTAAGCCATTAAGCTTGTGGCTTAGAAATACAGCAATAAAAACAATAATATGAACAGGGCATGGTGCCACACACTTGCACTCCCAGCTGTTCCAAGGCTGAGGCAGGAGGATCACTTAACCCTAGGAATTCAGGATTATTATGAAAATATAGAGACCTGTCTCAAAAATACATAAAATAAAATAGGGCAAGAAAGCCAGGGATATGAAAGAAGAAAGGAGGGAGGGATGTAGACAGGGAGGGAAAGGAGAAAGAAGGAAGGAAAGAAAAGAAAGGAACAGAATGAACAAACAGATGCACAGACAAAGAGGAAGGAAAGATTCCATTTTATACCCACAAGACTGGTAAAAATTAAAGTGGATAGCATCGTTGTTGGCAACTCTTGTATACCGACCTAGACTATTACTATTATCTTACAATCACTTTCAAATAATTATTGTCATAGGATTTTCACATTTTAATAGTTTAAAATGGATTCTATTGGTGCACACGGAAACCTTTTAAAAATATATAACTAGAAACTCAGAAAAATTAACACAAAAAGTCTAATCCAGCTAAAATTAGCTAGAGATTTCAATAAACTTTTCTCAAAAGGAGACATACATATAGTCAATAAATATGCAAAAAATTTTAAAAAACTAATCATGGAAATGCAAATGAAAACCACAGTGAGAAAGCCTCTTCTGAGAATGGCTATTATCAACAAGTCAAAAAATAACAAGCACCAGTGAAGATTCAAAGAGAACTCATTCACTGTTGGTAGGAATGTAAATTTGTACAGCCATTATGGAAAACAGTATGGAGAGTCCTTAAAAAATTAAAATACAGAAATATATGACCCAGCAATTCTACTATTGCGTACATCCAAGTAAATAAAACCCTATATCAAAGAGATACCTGTATCTCCACATTTCTTGCAGCACTATTCACAACAGCCAAGAGGTGAAATCAACCAAGGTGCCCATCAAAGCCTGAATGGTAAAAATGTAGTTCATATACACAATGGACTATTATTCGGCCATAGAAATGAAATCTCACTTGCAACAACATGGCTAAAACTAAAGGTCATTATGAAATAAGCCAAACAGACAAAATCCCATATTCTTACTTATTTATGGAAACTTTTGTGGATCTCAAAAAGGAATGGAGTGGAAGTGGAATCACTAAAGGCCAGAACGCAAAAACACAGATAGGAGATTCGTAAGTGGAATCATCCAATACATACATTTTGTGCCCCGTTTCTTCAGCTCACATAATGTCCATGAGTAACATGGGTGTTGTTGTGTATATTAATAGTTTGCTCAGTTTTATTGTTGAGGAGCATTCTTATGTACAAATACACCACATTTGCTTGATTAGCACCGAATTCCATTCCAAATGGAATTTGATCTATTTTGGGGGCTCTTTCCATAGCCATCTTTCTAAATGCAAATTAGATTATATCACTCATACTCTCCCTTGTTCTTTACTGCCTACAGAATTAAGGACATGCTCCAGAGCAAGACATTCACGAGCCTCCCATGCCCTAGTCCCCATTACCCTCTTAAAATCCATGTGAAGGATGTAGACGACTTCAAATGAACCTATACATTTTGGAACTGACAACAGTAAATATCAAAATGTACTTCGTAGGTATAATGTGATCATTATCACACAAAAGTACAACTAATTCATCACAGAGATTAAGACATAAAGGCTTATCTTTTATGAATAAACTACAATCACATTAAAATGCAACTTTATGTCCTGCTTTTGTACTTATTTCTAAAGTATTTTCTATAATATATTGTCTTCATAAACATTATTTTAAAAGCCTAAAAAAGTTCCAAAGGGATGCACATATCTAATAAGTATAACATAGTTAAATTTTTTTTTAAACTTCAGCTGGATATTTAGGTTGCTTCTAAATTTTTGTGTTACATTTAGGCTATAACAAACATTACATCCAAACGTACATTTTTTTTTTCCAGGGATCAAACTCAGTACCTTGTACCTGCCAGGCAGGCGCTGGGCCACTGGGGTAAATCGCTGCCCCTACATTTTATATTTTAGACAATGTCTCTGGCATAGAATCTCACAAGGGGAATTACTATATTAAGAACATCTGAATGATTTACATTTTTAATATATTTATGAAACATTATCAAATAATACATGAAAATAGTATTTTAATCATTCATACTAACCTCTCCAAACCTTCTTCCTCTGAGACAATCTTTTTTATCATTTATTTGGTTAAGTTCCCACACTTTAACTACTCATTCCCTATTTATTAAATATAGATATGATTTACTGTTAGTCTTGTTTTGTTTTTGTTTTGCTTTTTGAGACAGGGTCTCACTATGTAGTTGAGACTGACCTGAAACTCACTTTGTAGCCCAAGCTGGTCTCGAACTCACAGCGATCCTCCTGCCTCAGCCTCCCGAGTGCTAGGATTACAGGGGTGTGCCACCATGCCCAGCTATGATTTACTATTAGTATAAATGAGAATTTAATTCAATTACACCACTGCTTACCATTTTCTGCTAAATCGGGTAGTTTGTCATATCAAAAAATACACTATAAATACATTTCTTCCTTTCTGAACTTTAGTATTCTTCACATTAGTATCATTAGCATTCTCCAATTTCTAACAGCTATTCCTTTACTTTTACAGTTGTAGTTAATATCTACAATTTATTATGAACTCATAAAAAATTGTCTATGTGAATTGTTTTTGAAATATTCATACTAGTGTTTATACTGTAATTATATAAAGCACTGAAGATTATGTTTATGACTAAGTTATGATTATATTCCCTCCACCAGATACAAACTCAAAGGAAAAAAAATTTTTTTTTGGTACCGGAGATTGAACTTGGGACCTTGTGCTTGCGAGGCAGGAAGCGGTACCACTGAGCTAAATTCCTAGCTCTCAAAGGAAAAATTCTTACATGAAGGTCAACAGATTCACTTACAACTTTGATTTCAACCTTTATAAAACAAAAAGAACCACACCAGGAAAAGCATTAAATATATAATTTCCTGAAGCCATAGCAATTTCTACTGTGTCACTTCTATTGAAGTTTAATGATCTAATTATAAATCTCATACTATTGCAGTATCTTATATATGAGTTCAAAATTTTTTACTGGCTACCAGAGATACAAGTAAAGTCATAAGGCATTCCTACCTGCCAGAGCATCCCGATAAAGCTGCACAAAGTGATTAAAAATGTCTTTCGGCAAACACTTCTCATCTGGTAGACACTGTAGAAGGACGACTATCTCAGACTGACCCACTGCATGCATTCCCTTAGTTGTGAAACACCAGCACTTCCTATTCACATCTAAAGATGGAATAAAGATAGAAAAACGTAGACATTTTTAAAAATCCTTACTTTTAAATGTATACAAATCTATGTTACAAGAAAGAATAAAACAGGTCATACTGAGTCTGTATAATTCAATGGAACAAAGAACTATTATAGAAAATAAAGCACGTTAATGTCTCTAGCTCTTTTCTCAACACTTAAAAAAACAATCAGAAGGAATATAAAAGAAATAATGGTGAGAAGAAATACACTTAAACTTTTAACTATTATTAAAAGGCATAATTATTATAATAATCAATTCTATTAATAATAAAAAATAGACCATAAAGATTACAGGTTAGTCTTCTGCTTTCATACAAAAAAAATCACTTAACTAAGGGAAATAATTACTTATGTAATACAGAAATAACATAAAAGCCAGCATTATAGCTTTGGCTTCAGGTTGTGACCTAAAGGAAGTACATCTTATGGATATTTATTAAATTTATTCTATGACTAAAAGGCACTAAAGTAGTCCTTTCTGGGAGAAAATTCTAGGTAATCAACAACACTGACTTTACTTGTTTTAGGCTGTTACAAGTTATAAAAAAGTGGACTTCTCTAGACTGTTTACTTCTACTTCTTCACTTGTAGGCTATGAAAAATCCAAAAAGCGCAAGCCATACATTGTCAAAAATAGTGTTTAATTCTTGAAATTTTTATCATTCATACCCTAAAACAATGGAATCCTCAAAGGAAATAAAAAAGGATTCAAATAAAATTATGGATACTACCTTTATATAAAAACTAATAAAATTTCTTTCATTTTGAAAATTTTTATTTTTGTATCTAAACAAGAAGTGCCCAATTCAACTATAAGACAGTATCAACTTCACTCTCAAGGTTCTGCACTATAACTAAGGTTTCTGGGATTAAAACCTAGTATGTTCTGAAAAAATGGAAATAAAATGTTTATAAATGGGGAGGGGAGGAGGGGTGAAGGGAAGGCAGGGACAAGGGGAAAAAATGAGAACCAAGACCTGTCATGTAAAGGTACAAGATCCCAATAATGAATGTAACTGTACTGTATATCTAAATGTACCAATAAACTCAATTAAAAATAACAAAAACCTAGTATGTTCATTGTTTGGCCCCCTGAATAATTTATTCACTTTCGGTTATTCTGGAGGTGAGCTGTAACTTAGCATTCCATCCTCTCAAGAACTTAACTCAGATCAGTTCAAGATCTGTGTGATTTTACTACATGGAGAACTCACCTATTTCAATTTCACCCTGGTGACTAAAGACAAGAGTTTCAGTTAGTCCCACAGTTGTCCCCTGGGACATATTTTATATATTAACTTCATCAGGATCCAGGTTTCAGTAAGATACAGCTCTACTTAAAAATGTATGTAATAAATTTGAAAAGTTCATTTACTATCTATAAGTCTAATTTAATTCAATTTTAATTAAAACAAAAAAATTTCTAACTTACAATTTACAATTTTAACCACTGACAACAAATTTGCATTTAAAACAAATACAAGTGGGTCAGGGCCACCATCTTCCAATTGCTGCATTACTGATATCTGTGATGGTTTCTCTTCCACAGCATAGTCTATAAGGAGAGAAAACATTGCAATAGATTGATAAAGGGACAAAATGAGAAAGAAATGTAATGGACAAGGAGCTAATTATTCACAGGAAAAAGACAAGCATTTGACTTATAGACATACTGAAGTGAGGTCTTGGCTTGTACCTGTTCCAGCATCACGAGAATAGCGCCTTCTTTTACTCTGAAAAAGGAATCTTCCAGGTTTGGATGATAGTAAGTTTACTATAGACCTATCCCCAAGTGGTTTGTGGCAAATCTAAAGATGAATCCTTTATTAGGCAAAAAATTCCAACTCATATAACAAGAATGTCATATAAATAAGTGCTTTAAGACCAATATTCGAAATAACCCAACATACACAAAAAAGTGATAATATCCTAATAGTTTCCTCTGGAAAGAATGTTAAGGAATTGGAAGAAAGGGTTCCATTTTTATTCTGTACTCTTTTGTACTGTCTAAATTTGCTGACCATTAAAAAATTAGACTTTAAAAACCACTCAGAATACAGAAGTATCACAAGTACATGGTTCATAAAATAACTCTTCTATGAACCCATAAAATAGAAAAATATATAATAATGCCTATGTTTTAAAAGGTAACTGGTAATAATATGAAAGGATTTATAGATACAATAAAGGTGAGAGAGTCTGAGGTTAAAAAGATTAGGTAAAAGACTAAGACAAAGAAGAAAGAGTACTAATAAGCCTTCTCCTGAAAACGAACTAACTGGGTGCTGACCTGTATCTATCAACAATAAACTTTGCCAAAATTAAAAATTCTTTTGACTGGATAATAAATGCACCATTTACCAGAACTCCCCCCAAAACATACATACATATTTATACATACAAACATACATATTGCATACATTTTATATATATGTACAATTTTTGCAGCACTGAAGATCAAACCCAAGGCCTAACACACTAAAAACATTTTTAACAGTAAAACTGATATTTAAGCCTTTACTATATTTATTATATGTATCTTTCTGAATGTATGTTCTTATTTCAAAACAGCTAAAATTAATGCTCTGACTGTATCAGGGTGAGCTAATTCTAAAACCACAAACAACTCTTCACAGTATTGTGTTCTCTGAAATACAAAGAAAAAACTTCTAAAAAATTACATTTATATTATAATCGATATTATATCACTCCCAAAAGGAAATGGCATCAAAAATAAAAACAAATAATCTGCTATAAAATAGTATGTTTTGTTTTGTTCTGTTCTATTTTTTGTTTTTTGGAGACAGGGTCTCACTATGTATTTGAGGCTGGCCCAGAACTCACTGTGTAGCCCAGGCTGACCTCAAATACTCTGTGATCCTCCTGCATCAGCTTCCAAGTGCTGGGATTCCAAACATGTGCCATTATACTTGGCCCAGCTGCCATAAAATAACGAGTAAAATTGTTTCCATGACATGATAGTTTCTTTTTTGTTGGACAGGAGACAGAGGGTTATCATTCAAATTCTGTTTCCTTCTTTTAATCAGAAAGCAACATCTGGCAACATTTGGCAACATCTAATTACCCATGCTTCAATGTACAAACTCTACATACCTCCTTTTACACCAGTGGAGATGAGAATGGGAGGAAGGCCATCTTCAGGAATAAGGTTCATTGCACTTCCAACGGGACTTCCAACCTGAGTTATATTCCCAGAGAACAGGGCAACATCCACCTAGGAAAAGCAAATCAGCAAAGCAAGCATTATAGAGTGCAAGCTTTGGTAGAATATAGTTAATACTGTAAATGGTAACTTAGGTGAAAATCTGAAAGTCATATTTTTGTTTTTGTTTTTGAGACTGGGTCTCACTATGGAGCCCAGGCTGGCCTTGAACTCAGTGAGTTTCCTTCCAAGTGTAGGGATTACAAGCATGACACAATCATCTGAAATTCACTTTTTGAAAGACAGCTCAAGATAATTAAAACAGTCCTACAGCTTTATTCATAATAAAAAACTACAAATAATCCTAATGTCCATCACGAGAGAAGCAAATAAACTGCAGCATATCCATACAGTAGAATACTATTTAGTAATTTTAAAAATTAATTTTTTGCCAGGTATGGTGGTACATGCCTGGAAGTCAGCACTTGGGAATCTGAGACAGGAGGATCACAAAGAGTTTGAGGCCAGACTGGGCTACATAGTGAGTTCAAGGCCACCCTGAACTACATAGCAAGACTGTTTTAAAAAAATTTTTTTTGGGGGGTGCACACAACAGAGATAAATCTTGTAAATACTAGGCTGAGTTTATAAAGTTAAACCCAAAATATTATATAATATATTTCCATTTATATGAAATTCAAGAACAGGTGAAGATAATCTATGGCAATGATAGCTAACCTTTCAGAGCTTTCAATGATACAAACAGCCTGCTGTGGCATGCATGCCATAAGTTCACTACCACTGATTTGTGATAACAAGAGTCAGAGTAATAGTTACCTGGCTGGGGAGGGGCAGGTATTGACAGAAAAAGTGCATGAAGTGAACCTTTTGCAGTGGTAAGGTTTGTCTCTTCAGCTAGGAGGCAGTTTCATATAGCTCTAGATAATATAAATTATATATGTGTATGAATACGTGTATGGAAAATACACATCAACAGACGGTGTTACCCTCGTATAAGGGAACCCTAGAAGATGTTGTATATCACAGAAAACCCATTACCCTGCTGGCTTTTAGAAAAGAAATTAAAAATGCATGTGTAGCAATCTCAATGACCAAGTTTACCCAAGCAGCAGTTCACCATACTAATAAACATCTAGAAGCTAATGGCCACCATTTTGAGAACGTCTTGTAATTGTAGCAGCCAAAAGTATTGTATTAATCTCATGATGTCTGAATAAATTTAGTATAAAGGATTTATACAAGTTTCTCTTTTCCTGATGTGTTGGTGGTCTTTGCATGTATCAAGTTGTCTCTTAAAAGTTAATGCTCTTTAAGCCCTTAAAGCACTAAAAATATTAAAGGTAATTTAAAAAAATATGTCCATGTCTTGTCATATTTGATCTATACTATTTATAATTTAGGACTATAAGATTTTAGTGGATTTTTGCTAAAATTTTCTAGTGTGGTCAATATGGCAGATATTAAAAAGAGATTTGGAAATTTTTAACAACAAACCATTATTAATTGACTTGAAGGCCTGGTGTAAGATATAAAATAATTGATTCCAATCTGTTATTTAATAATAAATAAATCTACCTTTTAATATCAAATGAAGTGGTCACCTGGCATCTATTTTAATACTTTCTGTGAAAAGTAATTTACTCCATTTATTAAGCATCTATTAAGTGCCAAGCATTCTACTAAGCCTTCAAAATGAGAAAAAAATATATTCCAGTCTGGCCTTATAGTTTGTTTTTCAATTTACCAAATAAATACTAAAACAGAGAGGTGAACAATGTAAAGGCAGAGAAATAGAATAATTTACTTGGTTTAGTTCCTTTTGTTTTCCTATAGCATTCATTTACTTGAGAATTTATTTTTAAATATTTATGTGTAAGAACCTACCATATAAAGACATATAAAAGAAAAAAATCATCATTATGTAAGTCCATATTTATATCTGGTTCAGGCAAGAATTGTCAAAGAACAGTAAAATCATTAGCTGAAGGATTACTGGAGAGCAGGATATTCACAGTCTCATATGACCCTTCATATTACTTATTAATTAAAAAGGTACTCTCGCAATGGAGAAACATAGTAGACATCTTAACTGATTATCAAACTGATACTTCTTGATATGATTCACTAAAAAAAAAGGAGCAGTCCTTTAGCATTATTGTCAAAAAGTTTGTCTTAAGAAAATCATAAGAAAAAATGAGATAAATACTAATTTAGAACATTAAGTAAAACATGACCCAAATTCTTCAAAAAAGACCAAAAAAAGTAGAAAAACTGTTCAAGATTAAAGAAAACCTAAGAAACGTGACACCTAAATTTAACTGTAATCCTTGATGGAATCCTGATTTTTAAAAACAGACAAATTTTATTTAATCGGAAATTTGTGTGCATGTGCACACATGAATACAAACACACACCTAAATGAAAGCTATAGAGAACAATGGAGAAATCTGAATATGGATTATATATTAACAACAGAATTAGATGCTAAATTTCCTCCTCATATGATCACTGTGGTAAAATGATTTGCTATTAAGAGACAATAAAGGAAAAAAAAGATTATAATAAAGTACCAAGTGGTGAAGTGAGACTAATCTTCAAATGGGAAAAGGAAGGGGAAGGAGGGAGGGAAAGAGAGAGGAGAAGAAGAGGAGGAGGCGCAAAAGAGAAAGGAAAGGAAGCAGGAAACAAGGAAGAGAGGGAAGAAGGGAGGGAAGAAAGGAAAGAAAATATGTGTGTCTATATCTGTAGTGGTAAAGTAAATGATAAAATGGTAACAGTTTGTGAATACAGATAGTTTCACTATACTATTCTTCCAACTTTTCTGTGTGTTTAAAACATTTTCCAACTAAAAAGTGAAGGATTAAAAAAAAGAAGAAATATTCTTTAAAAAAGTCATGGTGGAGATAGAAAGATAAAGCATAGCTTTGGCTCTCACTCTCTGCAGCCGTAGGGACAAAAAGTAGCACCAAAGTAAAAACAAACTTAGACTATAATGTCTCTTCTCTAAACAGGAAATTCAGCTCTTTATGTGCTATAGTTTGGATGTAGTCTGAGTGTTCCGTTCAAGGCTTTTTATGCTAAAATTGAATCCCCAATGTGAGGTATTTAAGAAGTTAGGAACACTCTACGGTGCTGAGAAGTGGGGCCTTTGGAAAGTGATTAGGATTAGATAAAGTCATTAGGGTGGAGACCCCATGATTAAATTCTGGTGGCTTTTTAAGAAGAGATAACCAAAGACAGACACAAACATGCAGGCACACACGCATGCTGTCTCTTGCCACATAATGCCTTCCACTCCTTAGGACTCAGGTCTTTACTGGAAGCAGCCCCTTGCCATTGGACCTCTTTTCATTAACACTTACCCAGTCTGTGGCACTGTGCTATTAGCAACAGAAAACATACAGATATAGTATGTCAATAAGTCTAATCTTAACATGGAACTTTTAAGTCCACAAATAATATTACCAAACATATAAATAATTAGCAACAAAAATTCTACGAAAGCTTCAGGAGTAAGAACTTTATCCAATCCTGACATAAATTATGGATTCTGAGACATCATGATGTGTCAGTGAAGGGTCATCAATTGTAACAACTGTGCCACTCTGGCAAATGATATTGATAATGGAAAATCTATGCGTGTGGGGGGATAGGAGGTTACTGAGAAATCTCTCTCTGCCTCTCCATTCTGCTATGAACCTAAAACTCTTCTTTTAAAAAAGCCTTTTTTTTGTTTTTGTTTTTGTACTAGGGATTGAACCCAGGGCCTTTTCACTGAGTTACAGCACTGACTTTTCTTTTTTATTTTGAGACATATTCTCCATAAGTTAAATTGCCCAGGTTAGCTCCAATTTGTGATCCTTCCACCTCAGCCTCCCAGAATGCTGGAATTAGAGGTATGTGCCACCACGCCAGGCTAAAAAATAGTTTTAAAAAGAAAACTATCCCCACTTTTACCCTCTTATTTAAAATTAAAAAGATGGACATATATATTTAATTGGAGCTTATGGCCTTATAACCTTGAGTACTAAATTTAAGGGAGCAACCAGTAATAAACAGAAAAAGACTCACTGTATAAAAAGATCCTATGTGTATCCTTTCTAATTTTGCTTCTAGGTAGCTCTGTTCTCTCACTGACTCCAAAAATAACATTCATGTTTGTCTTCTTCTCAATATTAGGCTATGCTGGGTGTGGTGGCATACACCTGTAATCCCAATACTTGGGTAGCTGAGGCAGTTAGTTAGAGGCTACAAGTTAGAGGCTAGCCCAGGCTACATCATCGAGTTCAATACCAGCCTGAACTTCATAGCAAGATGTTGTCTCAAAAAATCAAACCAAGCCAAACCAAATGAAAGAAAACTAGGCTTCGGGTTACAATAGCGAGTTCAACTTAGAAAGACCCTGAGCTACATAGCAAGACCCTGTTTCAAAAAAACCAAGCCAAGGGCCAGGGATTTAGCTCATTGGCACTGCTGCCTGCCTCACAAATGCAAGGTCCTGAGTTCGATCTCCAGTACCAAAACAAATGAACAACAACAACAACAAACCAAGCCAAAGTAGGCTCTAAAGAAGGGAGAATCTCATTACCCCCAAATCAGGACTGGTACTTCTACAAAGATGAAAATGACAGCACAAAATGAGCTAGTTTCTTTAGATAATTATATCAGATTTCTATTCATTAAATCAATAGTTTATTAATTTATTCAAACTTTTGAATCCTTTTTTTAAAATCTTAAATGGAAACAAACAGGTCAAACAAAAAATAGTAGAGATGATTAGGTTGAAGGGAAAGGAAAAGAATAGCAGTTCCTTAGCCGTTGTTCTACTGCCCTACCCTTCCTCACCATGCACTCCCAAGAGGCCACCAGAGAACCTGGGGAACATGGTTTAGAAACAAATATAACAAGGGCCCAGAATTTCTTCCACCCTGACCTCTAGCTATAGAGCCTGAACTCTAGCTGAGTTCATCTGAGAAAAATCTCCATGAAAATCTTTCTCCTGAAAATATTTCCCAAAAACAGAGCAAGCAAAAACATATGATTCTGCCACATTTACTTACTCTTATGAATATCTCTAAACGCTTGCTCCATGCTACACTGTATTCAAAAACTACAGGGCACCACCCAAAAGTCACTTAATTTAGCAAAAGAAAATAAAAGGCAGCACAGTGTTTAATAAACTAACTACTCAGGTTTGCCATTTTGTTTTTCTTACCTCTGCTGGTAGAGGACTGGTAGCTACTGGCTTGACTGGGTCATGTGACACAGCCAGGGTTCCTGTAGAGGAAGTTCCATTCATTGTTAATTTGGCTGCATCAGCAACTTCTCCATTGGGCAAGATCCCATCAGCAAACCAAACTCTCCTCTGCTCTCTGGGCTGAACCACTTGAAGGGCCAGAAAAATAAAACAGGCATCAATGTGACATTGAGAGGATTTCTAATATCAAAGAAGAGAAGGTCACCAATTCCAGATGTACAAGGAAATCATTAGCTAGCATCTTAACAATTAGAAATATTTTAATAAAATATACTTAAATGTATAATTTATTTCCATAACTTATAATGCAAAGACCTAAAATACTTTTCTTTAAAATGTTAAGAACTTTTAACCACACACTGTCCTCCGTCAGCGATAGGAATACAGGAAAGTGTTTTAAGTGCCTACAAAATAAATTCATAGTGGGGGAAAAAAAAGTCTAGCAATAGAAATCCACATCCCCTAAAAGTATGAGGTTTCCATGGAAATTAAATATCTGGAAAAGTGATATGGTATTTTTAAAGGACAAGAGATGGTCTGAAGAATGTTGAAGAATTATTAATTAATAAAGGAAGATTTGGCACCGATATGTAAGAATTAGGCAGCAAACAGACCAGACCTTTGGGTAAAGTACAACTGAAGAAGAAAAAGACTGATCTGGCAGTACAAAAGTAGTCTGCATTTCAATAAAAGGACAGGGGAAAGCTGGAACATTAAGTCTGATGAAATGATCTTTTTAAACTCAGTCTTGGATATCAGTCAAAACCGACAGAGATTAGGAAAGAGTAAAATGACAAATGAAGAAAAGAGAATAACGATTTTAAGAAAGAAAGATGGAACTCACAAAAATGCAAGGAGCATCACTGAGGAATGATCTGAAAAGAGGGGAAAATAAGGAAGAGTACAATAATCTCAATAGACAACCTTGATCTTCAAAAAGGGAGGAGGGCCATTTAGCAAAGGGAAGGGACTACTACTAATGAAAAGGCATAAAATTAATGAAAGAAGACTGATTTTAGTTATCAAAGGAAAAATTCTGACAAGATCATTTAAGGGAATATGCATGGTTTTTATTTTTAACATTCATAATTCCCTGAAATTTGCAAAGCACCTTTCATCTAAAAGGTAGTATTCTAAAATAAATTGAGTCTATAAATTCCTACCTGTCATATGATAGAATTAAAGCCCTAGATTTTAAAGTATATGTTCCTAAGATAATATTTTTATAATGGATAGGTTAAAAATCAGAAGAGAAAATGGCAATGGATATTCTGTAAAGCAACAGTAGAATGGGCTGGTCAGAAAGAACTCTCATTGTCATCACTTAGTAAATTCCTACAAAGAAAATTAAGGTAAGCATGGGGCTAAGATTTTACAAGCTGACTGCAAATTCTGTAAGTTGCTTCAAGGATAAGCAGTGCAATTATTCAATTTTTAAACTGGAAAGGAGACTGGCATGTTTTCAGAGATGCCTCCAAATTGGAACATCAGGCAACAAAATTTTTATTTTGTACTTGCCCAGATATAGTCTTGACACACTTCTCACCTTGTTCTTCCACTTTAATAACCACCCAAAGGGACTCATCTGCCGTATTTTAAAGACTTGTGCTGTAAAGTCACATCAGCACCTTTTCAGAGGAACTGGGTGAGGAAAAAGAGAGAGAATAGCACATGATCCCCTACCTTCTGTTCCAGGGTGCTTTAAAACTCCCACAGGTACCATCACAGTGGGAGGTGGAGAGCTCAGGGCTCCTGAGGCCTGAGCTTGCTGCAAGGGAGGGATAGTAGAACAGTATTCAGCAGGATTGTTAGGGTTAGGGCTCTGGCTTGAGGCACTCATCATGTTCTCCCAGGCTTGAGCTAAAGCAAATACAGACACAATCAATGTGAATGGATTGCAAAATATGGACATCAAGACCTCCACAATATTGGATAAATAATGTAGCTCCTCCTCATTAGTACTCATAGTATGTCTCTCTTCCAGCTAGAGAAGGTGTTAAGGAGACAAGTGGTTTTATTCAATAAAGGAGACCATTTAGCTAAGTAAGCTATTTGATTGGAGCAAGTAAAAATTACATGATATTAATTTTAAAAATAATTACATCATACTTCTGATACAGACCAAGGAGATTGGTCTGAGTTAAAAAACAAGGCCCATGGCCTTTTGAAAGGAGATCATATATTTAAAGGGACTAAACCAACATCAACTTTAAGGATTTGTAATTGGGATAGCCATTTGGAATTTTCTGGTTTTTTAAAAATAGTTAATGAATGTTATGAACGTCTATCAAAATCTGGGGCAAAAATAATAACTTTATTGTATGATTTCTAGTTTTATTCCTAGACTTTGAGGCTCTTAGGTGAGATAAAAACTCATCTGAAGATTTCAGAAGCCTAAAGCTGAGGAGAACAGATCTCAGTATTTTTATGAATTCTACCTTTATGTAACCATTACCCTACAGAAAAATATTCAGCAATAACAACCATTTCACATCTTTAGTGTGTCTCAAAAAGCATAGGACCCATTTGAACATGAAAATGTGCCAATATAAATGTGATCAACCAGTATGAACGATCACAAATACATTAAGATTCTATTTACTTTAAAGTTTTACTAACTAAATACTGACATATCTACTATTGTCTTTAAAAGTAAAAAGGATGAAAAGTGCCATAGAAATGAATGGTATCAAATTTTATTTTTGAGTTTCAGGTAATACTATATACCCAGGAATAGAAATGACTAAGTTTTTGAGCAACTTCTTGAAAATCTCATTCAACATCAAAGAATGATCTACAAGATTTTGAAAATTTATAGTCTCCAAACTGCAAGATAAGACTAGTAACAAAAGTTGTGTTCTTTTGAAAGCACTGGCAGAAGGGTGGGTAGGAAGAGAAAAGGAGAAAGGGAGAAGAGATAGGGAACATTGAAAAGCATCAAATTAAATATTCAGAAAAAGACTAGGCTAAGCCATGCAAGAGGAAAGATGCTGGAAAAACCAGAAGTAGATTACCTTAGGATCCCGTTAAGGGCCTCCTTGGCTTAACAAAAAGTATTCCATGTGAATCCTCTGCCATTTCTTTCATCTTTAGCTATGCCACGTTTAAAAAGTTGAACGACCTCATCAAATAAAAGAGGTATTAGGTATTGTACTTAAACAGCATGCTCTTGTCTGTGGATATGTGTTCAAAAATAAAAGCAGTAAAATAAAAATTGTCAATTGAGCACCTGCGTGGAATAACCACCATCTAAAAAGTGACCCTTACGAGTAAATGATTCACATTTGATCAAAAGTATAAGAATTCAGAAATGGGAGGAAATTGGGTGGATTACAGGAGATTAGAACAGATCAGATTAACTGACATGCAATAGGTTAATAAGCCAGCAACAAGAAAACATCACTATGAGCAATGCAGACAGACAGAGCAAGAGGGATCTCAGAGCAGGTGAGCTTCAGCCTGGAAAAGGCATACCATCCAGGCACAGGCAGCAGTAGTGGTGTCTAGGTTTGACATCTGATGTCTATTAGTAATTGTTTTGGTAAGTATACAAAGACACATTTAAAGAGAAAATACCATATACATCCTGATCTATTTTATTCTATATCTTTACAAGAATATTCAGGGAGTTTTGGTGTTTTTTTGTTTACTTAAATGCCCTTGAAATTAATTTCCAGTCCCACAAAAGATGAACAATGAGTAAGTTTTATTTACCTTCCCCTGGCCATATTATTACACTACATAGCAACTAAATCCAAAACCATTACCCTCATAACAAATCTAAACAGAACTAAAGAAATAAAAGGTAAAAAGTGCAGTTTTCTACTTGATCCTAGATACAATATTTATTTTTATAAAAATGAAAGCTAAAAAAGTGCTGTCAAGAATGCATCCTGGGTTAGGGATATAGCTCAGTGGTAACCTAGCATGCACAAGGCCCTGGATTCAATCTCCAATACCAGGATTTTTAAAAAAGGAACATTTTCTAAATTATTAAGGTGTTCCCTAGAAAGAGACAGCTTCTCTGGAAAGGAAAACTTTGGCCCAATTTTAATATTTCACCAGGTGGTCAGTAGCACCCCATCACCACCTCTCAAGTTACTTCACATGAACAGCACCAGATTTCCAAAGAACTTTGTTTCTCCCACAAAACTCACCTGGATTTAGAATTTTTTTGTTAAATTAGGCACAAAAGTTCAGAAATGCTAAGCCACTCTCAAAACATGGATATTAAGCTCAATATTTTAAAAGTTATGATATTTGAGGTAAAACTTATAAAAGCAGCTTTTTCATAGGGATTTTTTGCTCTGTTTGAATGATTATGACGTTTTAATACTTACCATTCATTAGCACTGAATGGCAGATTACACACACTCTAGCTTCCTTTCTGTCCATGTACAACAGTTTACATTTCAGGCTACAGCAAGAAGCACAGAAGACCTGTGGTGGAAAAGAACATTCTAAACTTACTAGTATCCACAGCACAAAGGAAGCAAAACAATACCAACCAGTGCTGATTGAAAAAGAGCTGTGTTAGAATACAATACTAAAAACTTCAAAAGTAAATGCAGTTCAGACCAGGTGCGAAGGTGCATATCTGTAATCCCAGCTACTTGGGAGGCTGAAACAGGAGAATTCCAAGTTCAAGGCTAGTCTCAGCAATTTAGCAAGAATCTGTTCCAAAGTAAGATATTTTCTAATGGAATGGGGACATAGCTCAGTGGTACAGTGCTTGCCTAGCAAATATGAGACCCTGTTCAGTCCTCAGTACCGGGGGTGAGGGGATGAAGTTAGGAAGCTGCACAATCAGGATGTGAGGAAAATCTGGCTACAGCATCTGTCACCTCATTGAACACCAGGGTTGATTTTGGTGATCTGGCTGGCTAAGCAGGTGTCCCCTGCCCCTCTTACTGCTCCATGTGCATCCCTCCCTGAGCTGTAAAGCTTTTCTCTTGGTTGAAGAGGAGGACCACCCCTGATAGAGGAAGAGAAACATTTCCTCAGGCAAGGGTATACAATTAGCTGTCCTCCCTTGCTAGAACCTCCAAATCAGCTCTCAAGGAAGCTGCACAATTCATAAGCAAGAGTGAGATTTACAAATCTGTGAACAATAAAGAAATCAATAAATTCTGCTGAAAAGAAAAATCTTGGCTTGACTCACACAGCAAGGGAAAACATATCAAAACACTTGAGTGACCCTGAGACAAATTTCTATGTACAATCACATAACACGGGCCTTTAAAGATAGTTGCATGTGTTATTTCTGTTTGGAAAGGAACTACAGCAGGATAAAATTAACAAAGATTGGAATTTCTGAGTTTTAACTTGTTTTTCTACAAACCTTATGTGTAGAATAATAACCTACACCAGCTATTTTCACTGGTTGGCTAAGAAGGGATCAAAACATAAAACTCAATCACAAAAATAAGAACAGATCCAAATACAGGAAATTAAAGCAGGCAACCAAAATCGGACATGCTAATTTTCAGAACCTCAATTTTACCTTCTGGGCTTAGCTGAATCACACTTCCTTCTCCCCTCCACACTATTCAATAATAATTTCCTTGGGTTCCTGTTAAGATTTATTTAATATTTATTTGCTTGAGGATTCTTTAGTATTTTATCACATAGAGCTTCATAGAGGAAGAAAACTGTTTTTAGTAGAATAAATTCTACTTCTACAGCTTTTATGGCCAAGAGGTATTCTATATCTCACAAAGCTGAACTGAGTGATAGCCACATCAAAGTTAATATTAGATAATCATCTTCCCTCCTACTTGGTAAAATTAACACCTAGATACTATGGTTGCTAAGTTTTCAATGGACTTTTCATTCTCTACACAACTCAACACGCAGGGAGAAGAGAAGATAGGGTATTCTTAGTTTCTATAGAAAGAAATTGAGTTTAGATGGTTAAATGACTTGCTCAAGTTTACAGCAACAAGATAAACACTAGTGAATATCCTGCTTCATTTAACCTCAAAAATTCTGTGAAAACACTGATTTATAATATAGTGAAGTAATGGACAAGTGCTACTGTCTAAATGTTTGTGTCCCTTCAAATTACATATTTTAAATGCCTAACCCCTAAAGTTATGGTATTCTGTGGAGGAGCCTTTGGTGACAGTGATTAGGTCATGATCTTCATGACCAGGATTATCATCCTTATAAAAGATACCTGAGAGAAATCCTGTGGCCTTCCAATGAGACTGGAGTGACACAGTGTCAATCAAAAATATTCTACCACATTTCAAATATCATCTAAGTACCTTCTTCCAAGTTCTCTAAGCTAGAAAGAAGCTTAGAGTCATAAAATAAAGTTAATTTTAGAAATAGAGAATTATACATTTTCTTTTTTCTTTCTTTCTCTCTCTCTCTCTCTTTTTTTTTTTTTTTTTTTTTTTTTTTTTTTGGTGGTACTGGGGATCAAACTCAGGAACTTGTGCCAGGCAGGTACAGAATTGCATATTTTCACATTTGAAATTAAATTTGCTAATTGACAAGCTATAACCAATTTCTGATTTGTTCTGTCACAGGAAGCACTGATTTAGAACTCAAGATCTTAACCTGTGTTTTTCAAATAATTATATTCTGGTTTAACATAGAGTAATGGACAAATTTATAAAAATATAAAACGTATCAAGAATGAATCAGGAAAATGAATATAAAATGTGAATAAACCTACAAGTAATAAATCAATTTAATAAGTAATCAAAACCACTCAACAAAGAGTGTTTCACTGGTAAATTCTACTAACATTTAGAGAACTAATATCAATCCTTCTCAAACTCTTCCAAAAAACTGAGTACAGACCTCTAGGACTCAACAAAGTAGAGCACTTTTGGCAAAAGACTTCAGTAGACGTTTCTCCAAAGAAGATATATAAATGGTCAATAAGCACATGAAAACATACTCAACATCATTAATCATGAGGGAAATGCAAATTAAAATCACAATGAGGTACACCACTTCACACTCATATTAAGTATGGCTACTATAAAAAAGTAAACAGAAAAAAGTGTTGACAAGGATGTGGAAAAACTGGAAACCTTGTATAATGCCTCTAAGAATAGAAAGCTGTGCATTTGCTATAGGAAAAATAGTAATTCTTTTAAAAATTAAACACAGAGGGCTGGGGATTTAGCTCAGTGGTTCTGCCACTTGCCTCGCAAGCACAAGGTCCTAAGTTCAATCCCCAGTACCAATAAAATAAAAATAAACACAGAACTAATATATGATCCAGCAATACCACTTTGGAAGACAGTTTGACGGTTTCTTATAGAGAACAATATAAGTATGGTGGTGCAGAAATATAAGTATGGAGTATGGTGGTGCATACCTGCAATTCCAGCACTTTTTGAGAGGCTGAGGCAAGAGGCTTGCAAGTTTGAGCCCAGCCTGGGCAATTTAGCAAGACTGTTTCAAAATAAAAAAGGGATGGATATGTAACTCAGTGGGGGAGGGTGGTGATAAAGTAGTTCTGTTTCTAGATATTTAAACAAATGAGATAAAAATTGTTTATATAAAAACCTGCAGATAATGAAATTGGAACTCAAAGGAAAAAGAAACGACAAAAACTACGTAAATACCCTCTTAAACAACCAATGGGTCACAGATGAAATTAAAGAACAAACTAGCTTCTATAATTAAACAATAGCACCACTACAATATACTGGAACTTACAGGATGCAACAAAAGTAGTTCTACAAGGGATATTTCTAGCAGTGAATTCCCACATCAGAGAATTCCCAAAACAGAGAGAGCTCAAATAAGTAACCTAGTGTTGAACCTCAAGCTTTTAAAAAGAGAAGAGCACGGCCAGGGATTTAATTCAGTAGTTCTACCACCTGCCTTGCAAGTACAAGGACTGAAGTTCGATCCCCAGTACCAAAAATGAAAGAAAGACAGAAAGAAAGGAAAGAAAAGAAGAGCAGGGCCAGGGATTTAGCTCAGTGGTTCTGTCACCTGCTCCTTGCAAGTGCAGTCCCAAGTTCGATCCCCAGTACCCACCCCCACAAAAAAAAAAAGAAAAAAAGAAGAGCAAGTTAAATACTAAGTGCACACAAGGGAGGAAATTATAAAGATCAGAGAAGAAATTAATGCAATTGAGACTAAGAAAACAATACAAAGAATCAATGAATTAAAGAGTTGGTTCTTTGAGAAGTTACATAAAATTGACAAACCCAAACTTATCAAAAAACTTATCAAAAAAAGGAAAGACCCAAATCAATGAAATTAGGAATGAACAGAGTGAAATCAAAATGGATCCTGAAGAATTCCAGAAAATCAAAATTATCTACCTTAAGAACTTGTACTCCAGGTCTGGGGATTTAGCTCAGTGGTTCCACCACCTACCTCACAAGTGTAAGATCCCAACTTCAAGCCCCTGTACCAAAAAAAAAAAAAGAACCTGTACTCCAAGAAGATGAAAAACTTAGAAGAAATGCACAGATACATATATGAATTACCAACACTGAATCAAGATATAAAACTTCTAAATAACTCAATATCAGTCAATGAAATTGAAGATATAATAAAAAATAAAATTATCAACAAAGAAAAGCCCAGGTCCCCCTGGATTAACTACTGAATTCTATAAGAACTTTGAGAAGATCTAATGCCACTACTCCTCAAACTCTTTAATGAAGTGGAAAAGGAAGAAATACTCCCAAATGCATTCCTGGAAGCAAGCATTACCCTAATACCAAAATCAGAGAAGAATCCAACAGCAAAAGAGAACTACAGGTCAATCTCCCTAATGTGCACAGGTGCAAAAGGCCTCAATAAGATACTGGGAAGCAGAATGCAGCAAATCATTAAAAAGATTACACACCATGACTAAGTAGGGTTCATTCCAAGGTGCAGGGATAATTCACATATGAAAATCAATAAATGTAATACATCACATTAATAGAACTAAGGACAAAAACCACATGATCATCTCAATAGACACAGAAAAAGCATTTGACAAAGTCCAACACTCATTCATTATAAAAATTCTACAGAGAGGTGGGGCCAGAGATTTAGCTCAGTGGTTCGGTGGCCTGCCTTGCAGGCGCAAGGACCAGAGTTCAATCCCCAGTACCCCCCCAAAAAAAACACTCTACAGAGAGAGGCCGGAGATTTAGTTCAGTGGTGCCACTGCCTGCCTCACAAGCCCAAGGTCCTGGGTTCAATCCCTGATACCAAAATAAAACAAAAAAACCTACAGAGAATTAGAATAGGTCTTTATCACTACCTGATAAAAGACTTCTATGACAAAGCAAGAGCCAACAACATACTAAAATGGTCAAAAACTGAAAGCCTTCACTCTAAAATCAGGAATGTTCAAAATAGTTCTGGAAACAGCCAGAGCAATTAGACAAGAGAAAGAAATGAAAGGAAGATAGCTAGAAAAAGAAGTTAAATTACCATTATTTGCTGATGACATGCTATTCTAC